CCCCCCCAAGTCGTGGCTGCATCTCAGAGCTGGGTAAAGAAACAGCCGGTGTGAGAGCCTGGCCCCCATGACAGTCCTCGCTGGGGGGCCGAGTGGGAACTGGGGCAGCCCAGCCCCACTCCTATGGACACAACTAGGAAAAGGCTCAAACTCTCTGAGCTTTGCCCCTTCTCCATTAGCACACACGGCTCCACCCTCCCGCCCCCTGCAGGGCACACCTGTCTGTCCGCACCGCAGCACAGGGGATGCTGTCCACTGCTGGCCTGTCCATTGCCGGCCGCCGGGAGCGGGGCTCTGGGGCCAGGGCCGCTATTGGGTTGTTGCTGATCCCTCCGTGTGTGTTGGGGGGGCGGGGAGCAGCTCTTTCCACCAGCAGGAAACCTCGTGATGGTTTGTACTTGCGGGGTCTTCGGCTGCCTCTTTCCTGAGTTTGCCTCCCGGGGCTGCTGTCTGAAGATGGGGGGCTGGTTGTTCCCACCTCAGGCCAGTTTCTGGACGCTGCCGGAGGAAGGGCGCTTGTGGCATTTGAGAGCGGAAAGCTGGCTGGCAGCACAGGCCTCGAGAGCTGTGTGGCTGTGGCCCAACCACTCTTCCAGAGGAGAGAAATTCAGAGATGCAGATTGTGACGAACTGGGACTGTTCTTGCTGTGGTCTGTGAATGCTGACAGGGGAGTGTGGCTAGGATAGTCTGCATGGGGGGTGGGAGACTGACCGACGGAGAATACCTGAGCGTGTAACATGAGAACCCAGGAAGGGGTTAGAGGCCAGGTGACACCTTGGCCCGGGAAACTGAACAAAGGCTGTGGGAGGGGTCGCTGAAGGCAGAGTCTTGGAAGCTGGGTGGTGAGATGGTGGGGAGGCAGAGATTGCTCTGACCTCCCAAGGGGCTGGGGCGCCCTGGGACCCCAAGATGGACCTAACTGAGCGGGGTCCTGTTGTCTGTGCCTGCAAGACCTGTCTTGGACTCTGTTCCTGTCGTCGAAATAAACCTTCTGCTTTACTGGCTGGCTGAGAGTCATGGTGAATCGCAGGAAGCCGGGGGGGGCAGGGCCCGGTGTCCCCCCACACTCTGTGACACAGATAATGAAGAATCACTCCCCCACGGAGTCACTCACTGTGTAATGGAGCCAGTAATGCTCTCGGATTCCCTCCATTTATCCCCTTCCGGCCAGCGAGCGCATCCCATTCTCCCAGCCCACCCTCCCTCTCTCCCGCCAGGTACAGAATCAAGACACTCCAGCCTTTCCTGGGGAACCAAGTGTGACAAAGCGGT